ATTTATAAAAACAAATATTAGCGTTAATAATTTCTCAATAATTTCTCTTTCTCTTCCGAGCAAGAAAAGATCTTTGTCTTACCTTAACGTCATTTCGCTCATACATCCAGGGACGTTCCTTGCGACGTCTCAACTTCCCGCGTCTATGTTTATCTTTCTTTTTCTTTCTCTTTTCCTCACGATCCAACAACTTGTTCAACTTTTTTGCACTTATTACCGGTACCTTAACTTTCGCCTGATTTATCGATAAACTTTTTTTTATCCCGTTAGACTGATTGTACCGAGGATTGCTCAGATCTGTTAACTTTTTCAATTTGCGCTGTGTTTGCGGCGACTTGAGAACCTCGTTCGCCAATTTCCGCGCTAAGAATTCGGTTCTCTTTGTCTCGTGATCGTCAGACGCGAATTTCGAATTCACATTTTCGTAGACGTATCTATCGGACGTGTGTGCGTCTGAATTTCTTCTCACCCTCGTTTCTGATTTGCACGCATCGCTGTCTCGCGCGATCAAAGGATGCTTCGCAAGCGCGACAATTGATCGCTCATCGTCGGCGCGCACGTCGTTGCAAATTATTTCGATTAACAACGGCACAATCATGACGAACAACCTGTTTGATCGCGAAAACGTGAGACGATAATAAGACGCGAAATAAGACTTTTGCCAAAGTCTTCGCGCGATGCCAAGAGCGTACCTGTAACCTCCTCCGTCTGTGTTCTTTGGTATCATTTACAGCATTTGTTACTTCAACGAGAAAAATCTCTCTCTCCCTTTCTCTTTGTTCTGACTTTCGACTTATATTTCGGTTTGAACTTTTCGAGTTCCACGCTTTCGCGCTTCATTTAGCGAGGATAAAAATTTCGCGCACCAACTTTTTCCCTTTCTTGTAACCGCACATCGAGTTCTAAGTCTGAGGAGAAAAATTTGCACACACACCGAATAATCGAAGTGCGAAACGGTGCTCCCTTCTCGCCGGTCTCGCTGATCTTTCGAAGACAATAACAAAAAATTTTATTTGCAAAAATTGAAAAGATAGTTTTTTACATGTTGCATTTATTTGTGTTTTATTTTTACAATTAATTTTCACATCAGGAATTTAAAAGTTCGATTTAATTCTTTCGAACAATTAGACTGTTGCGCATTTGAATGATTTGCTTACAGCGCTGCTACATTGTAACAGACTCGATACGCAAATAGATCCCATCGGCGTCGCTCTCGATCTAGAAAGCGCCGGTAACGTGGCGTCGTTTAGCTGATCAGTAGCGGGGAGATATTGTAGCCGGCACAACGTCGGCTTACTTAATCGTCGTAATAATCGATACTCGGATCCGTTGAGAAATATATCCCCCGGAGAGCCTATATCGATTATTATTAGAAACGCGGCCGATGGCGTTGCAAATTATCAGCGCGCGCGAGCAAATCCCGTGACAACGGTTCCGCGTTTCACGGAATAAATCGTCGAAATAAATACATCGAAACCTCATTGCAACGAAAACGCATTGCATTTTACGTTTCGCTTCTCGGGAAAAAAAGTGCGTAGCCGTGATCACTTTTTTTTTAAATAAAAAAAAATAAATAAATAAATAAAATCTGAAAAAGATGAAGTAAAATCGAATTTAGAGAGGGATTTAAAATAAATCGAAGAAGATGTCAAACACAAGGGGTTTCCAAGCTAATTCAGAAAATAGAAACACAAATGCTGCGTTCTTTCAATCGATCTCTTACGACGAATTCGATTGGATGCGTTAGTGCGCACTGAGTGCCGTCTTCTTTCAATGTGTAGTAGAGAATATTTCAGTGTTGGTATTTTACTTACCACACTGAAAGAAAACGCACTCGTTGCGCACTAGTGCATCCAATCGAATTCGTTGTTGGATGTTTCTCATCAGCAGAATCAGCGGCGAAGTAAGATTGCTGTGATCGAACGTTGTTGATTGTGCAGAACAGAACGTGATCAGGAGAAGGAAACATTAGTGAAGCGATTCGAAAGCGGCACATCGAAGACGCGTCGATGGCGACGAGGAGGTAGAGAAGAGAAGAAGAAGAAGAAGAAGAAGAAGAAGAAGAAGCGGGCGCGCTCGGGCATCGGGACGCATTGCCGTTGGCATTGGTAGCAGTCTCGAGATAGCCGTCGGCTGGCTTCCTCACAGGCTCGTGCGATTTATTCGGGGATTCCTAGGTGGCCGAAGCGAGCTCGACAACGTCCGGACACCGGCAGCGAGAAAGATTCGTTTCGGAGAAAAACGGGAGAGAGATTGCACTCTCGTCACGTAATCCGATCGTTTTCTCTTTTCGCGCGCCGAAGCCGGTAATTCGAGGGTGGCGCAAGGGAGAGTCGCTGAGGTTCCCGGAGGTCAGTGCAAAATCCTCACTTGTTTCTTTCCCCCGGGAAGAACTTCTTTCTCCCTTGATCGCATTTCCTCCTCTGGCGGTCTCCTTCGCTGTTTCTCTCTCTCTCTCTCTTTCTCTCTCTCTCTATCTCTTTTCTTACTCTCGTCCGTCCCGTGTCAGCTCGGCTCGTCGGTGCTATTTTCGCGCGAGTGTGTTGTGCAAGTGTCGAACGCGCGTTAAGGTGGCAATTCCGACGTAGATACGCTCGTCCGATAGGTCAAGTCTCATCATCTTCCACTACGAGTCGCCGGGACATAAACGCTTCACACCCCCATCAAAACCCCTACGTTATCGATCTATCGGATGTGACGTTTCTGTGAGAAGATGTGTGCACGACAGATTTTACAAGATTGTTAAAATGTTGCTATGAATCGTGCGGCGCGCACGCACACACACACACACACACACACATATATGTATATGTATATACACGTCGTAATTAACTGATAGAATTTTAAGGTTTGTCATTTCAGAAATTAAATCATCGACTTTTGACGCCTGTAGCCTTTGAGATTTAAACTCAGGAAGATGATAAAAACACGACTTTGAAACGCGAAATGTCGTTTGATCGATATTGAAAAATCGAACCGGTCAGACCGTGTTGGCGTTCTGACGTTTAGATTCGCAAAAAAAAAAAAAAAAGAACATCGACTTGCAAAATAATCGCGTTGAGCGACACACGCGCTTTTGGTGTTGGCAGTGGCGATAGTTATTTCACGATGCACGGTCTATTCGTCGGACTGTCCTCTCTGTTTTAGATGACAGATATAAAATGCTGACATCCTGCCATGCGGAAGCTCGCGGCGTAGCGACTGGTAGCGAATTTCGCGACGACGCGGTCTCTTCTTGGCCGAACCGAAGACGTACAAGCAGGATATTTCGCATGAACAGGACAGATAGCGATTAATAATGTTGCTAATTAGTATAGTCTGGAATTCCGCGTGTCACCGCCGAACTAAACGTCTGTTTATGTCGGCTCGAATCTTCGCGGTTTTACGTTTGAAGCGCGCGCGATAATCAAATAACAGTCGTTCTACCAGATCTTCTACTCGTGTAGCATATCAAGTCTCCTTTATATCTTCAAAAAAAAAAAAAAAAAAAAAAAAAAAAAAAAAAACAATAATACGAGTCGAGTCAAATGAAAATAAAATGCGTAAGACGGACTATTTTTTTTGTTTATAGAAATTTTATTCAAAAGAGCCAATTTGATTTGTTAATAAAATTTTCGATTTTATCAAAACAGGTTTTTAATGTGAAAACAAACTTTACCGAGTGTTTTATTACACGCGCAAGTGCAGTTTCGTAGTCGTCCTAAAATGAGCGTCGAAATATTTTCGAAATCACGTTTGGCGCCAAACAAACAAACCACTTGCGAGCGAAACAACGAAGACCCCCAACATCGCGGCGTAGAGCATGAAATTTCTGGCCAAATGAAATTCTGCATAGCTCTCTGGTCGTGCTCAAGGTGCTTCATAAAATAACTGTACTATTTTCCTGGCACGGTTTCCCAGAGTCAAACATCCAGTGAATCAACTTGGAAGGCCAAGTTTTTAGTTTTGTGTAAACAGAACCGCGCGTCGATTCCTAGAATTTGCAAGATATTTTATTTTTTTTTTTTTTTTGCAAAAGTGCTTTGTTTATTTTAGAAAAACAAACAACGAGTTATCAGTTAAAATATCTAGAGATATTTATTTAATCAAAAAAAAATTGTCTCCTCTTATTTGCAATATTTTTTTTTATATATATAACGAAGAAATACTCGCGTAACGACGAGTAAACGCAATTAGAACACTCGAGTTTATTGAGTGTTGTTTTGCTGTTGTAACAATAGGATTTTATTTTGCAAACTTATTTAGCGTTACGCAAAAGCGATCTGCGTGTGTGTGAGATTTATTTTTCATCTTTAATCAAACCACTGCCAGGAGCGACCGAGTAAACTGCCAATCTTTGATCGCGACCTACATTCGAGATAGGATCTTCTCTTTCTACTACAGTTCTGGAGCCATGTGTTTAGGCCATGTGAAGTAGCAAGTATTGCAATTTACAATCTAAAAAACTCTAGAACATATTTTTATCGGAAAACTACAAAACATTGCGGATTATCGCAATTCAGTAATCAAATTTTTGACGCGTGATCAGTGTCGCCGTTATTGTTGTCACAACAATATTCATCATATATAAAAAGTGAAATAGCGAGTCGTGGCGCGATTAAACATTTTAAAGTGTGTACAAAATATACAAAAAATTATATTTTTATTTACGACATTTAAAAAAAATAAAAAAATAAAAATTAGTTAAGGAGGTATCCGGGATCTGTCATATGTGAGATGCAAAGCATCCCCTATGAATTTAAGAATTGAGTTTTCAATTCAAAAAATACTCACTTGTGTAAAAAAATTTACAAGTTGAACTTGTTACACGTGTATGCATATATATATATATATATATATATATATATATATATATACACGTACAGTTTCCGCTCAACATCTTGGAAACAGCTCGTAAGGCCTTATATATTGGTTTAACTTTCAACGAGTTTTAAAAATTGTTTAAAAAAAAAAATACTTGCAACAAATGTAAAATAGCGAAACACACGCGTTTCGAGGACCGGTCAACCAGTTACCGAAGTTATTAGATCGGCGTTATTATCGTTTGGCGCGGTTTTCCGAGAGGAAAATGAATCATTGCGCGCATTGATCCCCGCGAAGAGAATCTCTGCGAGGATCTCTTCGAAAATCGAATGGCGGAAGTGACCCGATTAACTGGCGAAACAGAAGAAAATGCGGCCAACGCCGCGACGAGCCGGCGGAGCCAGCCAATCGCGACGAAAGGCTGCGAGTGTCGCGCGTCGGAAATAGATTTCGAATCTCAAACTAAAGGTTGATCCACTGACGCTTAGTTTATTCATGCGCGCATCGCGTACGATTTATCGCAGAGACCGACTCGGTTAGGGTAATAAATTACGGCATCTCCGACGACAGTATCAAAGACTGATTGTAATCCGCCATTTTCCACATTGTGTTTTCCCCACCTCGCATCGATTTAAATATCAATACAATGTGTGATCTTTTTGTAGCTCTCAGCAACATTGTAATCGTGAGATTCAGACGAACTAATTAGCGGAGTTTTTGATGATATTTTTTTTCTATTACAGAGAGACAGACTTTTTAATTGACAGTTTTGTTTGAGAGAGTTTTGTCTCTTCGTTTCAAATGCATGATTCAAAATTTAAACGATTGCTTGACGCGAAGTGCGATTGACGATAAGCTTATAAGATTCTCTGGAGATTTCATCCGCCGAGCGCTTCTCGGTTTTCTTTCACGTAGATAAGTTACCTACTGTAACCGAAAGAGAGAAGAGAAACCAGTTTTACAGAAAACTTATCTTCAGCGCGCGTTCAACGAGAAGCGCAGCTCTGAGATGGCAGTATTGCAATTACGTGATACAGTAGAATTTTAATTATTGCGCGCTGATTTTTATTATTTA